CTACGGGACGGGAGTGGTGCGTTCCAATATACCAAACCCGTCATCCAAGCGGCCACGGCCGAGCCCTACTTGGCTCGGGTGAGCCAAGCACCCTGTCGGTCTAGGCCTTGGCCGAGCTCGATCAATATCTTGGCCAGCCTCGGCCAAGATCGTGCTCGGCTATACTTGCGTATGTTCTCATTTTTTGGCCCAATCCCAAGGCTTGGGCTGTACTTGGAGGTTAGGTCTCCCGCCATGGACTAATTTTTGTAGCTTGTTTTTTTTTTTTTTTTTTCTTGGTAGTGTATAATTATTTGGCAAAGGGTACTCTCGGTCCAAAAACTCTTCTGCTGGGATTGGTACGGGAGGTTGGACCTTGTGCCCCCTTAGGGTACGATAGCCCTTCGACCCGAGTCCTTTGACACCGGGCCGTTATGCTCTTCCGTCAGGGCTGGTACGTGAGGTCGGACCTCGTGCCCCCTAAGGGTACGATTGGAGGGGTCGGGTAAGTATCCTCGTTCCCTCCCCCCCCCCCCCCCCCTCCCCATGAAAGAAGTGAAAATAAGTCATCCATGGCAAAATTTTTATTGAAACGGAGGGGACGGACCACCTCTTAATAAACAAATCACTGATAATACTTCAGCAAGTGCTCAGAATTCCATATTCTAGCTACCATCTTCCCTTTGTGGGTCTTGATCGTACTCTTCTGCTCGGCGGGAAGGTATGACGACCTCCGCGGGTGCTCGGGCTTCGAAACCATAGGCTAGTGAGAAGGGTGTTCGCCAACTTTTAAAGATGGTAGAATGTGACAACCCAAAATTTAATTTTATAAATTCGGTTTTAAGAAATTCCAAAATTGCAATTGTTCACTCTATAAATTTTTTGGCGATAAAATCGGTGTTTGAATAAATTATTTTGAGTCACTTTTATATAAATTCAACACCATGACTTATTTTAAATCTAAAATCCTAAATTTTCAGGTATATCGCGTACCAAGATTTTGATCCAAAAGTCAATCTGAGTGAAACCGGGAGAAATCTGATGAACCTAAACTATGTGGTTGTCTAGAAAGTATTTTTGGAAAAATGTATTTTGACCCCCAAAACTATTTTAAACTAAGATTCTAGACCATGCTCCATGAAGCTTGGTGAACCACTAGACTTTATCTCATTGCCTGATATTTTTATAAACTAAGCTAAATGACCAATTTGCCCTCTACCAATCATTGTTGATTCTCATAGGGTTTAGTGCCACTATAAAATGAAATGTTTTCAGCCTTTGCCTCTTGATTCCCACCCTTGTCTTCCCCATCTCAAAGCTCTGCAAGGGAAACCAAAGAAATCGCAGTAAGCATCTTCACCATTCATCCATTTCTCTTCTAGTTTCCTTGAGTTCTAGCTTCCATCTTTGAGTATCTAGATCCTAAGGCTTGTTGTATGGTTTGTTTGAGGAATACAGATGGTGAAGGGGGTTGTAGCTGACTTAGGAAGAATGAGGAATCCTAACAAGAAGAGGAAACATCAGAGGTATAACCCATGTACTCCCACCTCTTTCATAGACTATGTGAAGTCAAAATAGATGTTGAAATGAGTAAAAATGCTAGATTATTGATGTGTTTGAGCTATTAAGTGATCTATTGTTGATCTATAATGTGTTGTTGAGGATTTGGGAGTGTTGTATTGCTTGAAATTGCTTTACAGGTGAAGAAGGATCTCACTGGTGCACAGACAGTGTGCACCAGATGAGTCACGGAGCTAGCCAACGGTCCTAGGCAAGGACCGTTGGCCAGCCTCGTGAAGGAACGGCCCTAGGGCACGGCTCATGGCATGAGTCGTGGCCCTAGGCCGCTGCTTGGCGGAAGCCAAGTGGCGGGGTTTTTCAAGCCCCACCGCAAGCCCCGCCAGGCTATAGTAGTGTAGTGGTCGGGCCCTTGTGGCTCAGCTACATGTCATTTCGAACCGGGACTCGCGGGCCCTTGAGGCTCGGACACTCGGGATCATTACGACGCACGAGTAAAATTTAATTTTATTGAATTTGGAGTAGAAATGAGTAATTTACAATAGAATTTGTGATGTTTCTTGCTATAGAAATTGTCTGGGAACATTTGGAGAGAATGAAAATGTGAAGTATATGGTCTTGGCTATTGGTTTGAGAAGCATGACAATTATTTGATTGTTAGATTAAGAAGTATGATCGTTATTTGCCAAAGTTACTTGATTAGCATGCCTAAGTATTCATTGTGAGTATTTGAGAATTTTGCCAAGAATATTAGATGTTTGGTTGTACAGAGCATGAATCTTATTGCACAGTGAAGTGAAGTATTGAAGCATGTTGTCCATTTTGAGTTTAAAGAGCATGATCAACAATTGCTAAGTGTTTGCTAAGAAGTTTGCTAAGCATGTAAGTGATGAGCATAAAGTAGCATAATATTGCTTGACTTATAATAAAAAGGAATTTGAGATTTTTTTTATAGTAAAGAGCATGTTAGCATATCATAGACCAAAGTGCATAAGTGGCTCTAAGTAAGCCTAAGTTCTCTTTCAAAAACCTATATTTATTTTGGGAAAATCATTATCTAGTTGCATTGAGAAGTTGCATGATATTTGATTTCCAATTTGTGAGAAAAGAGAAGTTGTTGAGAAGCTATGTGCATAAGTTTGCATAAGTAAAGTTGTTGTATAAGATTGAAATGCATGAGTTATATCTATATGTATCTAGTGTGAGTAATCCGAGGTTTTGGAGGCCCGTTAGGACTATGTCCTTTCGGAAGAAAAGATAAAGTTTGAGAAAGGAAAGAAATAGACATTGCGATCCGATGTGAAGTAACGAGGTCGATATTCCCGAGTTACTAGGTAGGATACTACCCGCCGGGCTTGGAATCTCAGTTAGGCGGTGTGCACACTGACAAGTACGATACCTGATTCCACTGAGTTTGAGAAAAGAACCAAGAGAGTGGTTCTGTGGGCGAGATGAGTATTAGGCCGGCTAGATGCCGAGCCCAGATAAGTCCATTCACGTTATGTTGAAGTTCCTACCTCGCCCACGAGTATAAGTAAAGAGAGAAAGCGAGTCATTGCGACTCTAAAGAAAGCGAGTTAACGTGACTCTAGAGAAAGTAAAGAAAAGCGAGTCATTATAACTCTAAGAAACCTCCGTTTAACAAGTATTCCTTGTTACCAAAGAAAGAGTGAATTTGTATATCTATCTACTAGAGCATCATGTTCATCTTATTGCATGATTATAAAAATTGCATGTATTACATGAATGCATGAGAGGTAGTATGATAGCATAAGATTGCTTATTGAGATATATGATAGCATGAGATTGCTTAATGAGTTATATGATAGCATGAGATTGCTTAATGAGTTATTTGATAGCATGAGGTTGCTTATTGAGTTATATTTAGCATGAGATTTCTTAATGAGTTATTTGTTAGCATGAGATTGCTTATTGAGTTATATGATAGCATGAGATTGCTTATTGAGTTATATTTACCATGAGATTGCTTGTTAAAAATTAATCATATTAGTAACCATCAGTTCGAGCATGAATAGTGTATAGTGCCATGTTAAGTTATGCATGTGAAAGTATGAGATCGTGATAAACTAAATAATTGAGAAAGTATGCCTATTTGATAATTAAGTTGCAAGCATATAGAAACCCTGTCGAGCATGTTTAATTGTTGCTTAAGTGACCGAGAGTACTTGACCTAAATGTGTGAAACGAATGTTTTCCAAAAGTATATATGGTAGTATTTTACAAGGTTGAGTGGCGTTATACTTAGCTTCGTGCTAACGGGTTGCTTTCTACTTGTTGTTTGTTAACCCCTTTCAGATGGGCCCAGTTCATGAGAGCGTTCGAGTTAGACTAGATTAGCTTAGTGTGCTAGTTGTAGTCTAAACTCTTACTTCAGTTATGTTATTTTGAGACCTTTATTGTAGACTTATCTAGTTTTTTTTTATGGTGCTGGATACCGGGGTTTCATTCCCCAAGTTTGTTTTATGTTGTAAGATTGTGGATGTTTAGAACCTTTCCTTGCCTGTGCAATCACCGTATACGGTGATTGTGGCGGTGACACATTTTTATGATGATTAGTAGATTTATTATGCTTGTTAGTATTTCCTTTCTAAGTTAAGTATTTGTTATTATGGTTTTAGAAAAGTGGGGTGTTACATCCAACCTGCCCCTTGGTTCTCCAGATCTTTTGTACTCCTTCCAATGATTCGTTGAAGGGTCTTAGGCCTCATGTTGAGCTCAAGTTCTCACACACTTAGAGGAGTACTGTGCTAGCCCGGGGGGGGGAGGGGGGGGGGGTGGCAGGAGGGGTCCAAATCCGTTTCTTGGGCCTCCAGGACCCCTTAGTCTACTCAAATCATGCATGTTGTCCCTGGTGGCCGAGCCTGGGCTCCTTGCACTCATGGCGGCTAAGCTCGGGCTCCTCGTCCTTGCGGTGGCAGAGCTAAAGCTCTCTACACCCGCGGTGGCCGAGTTCCAATTCTTTGCACTCATGGAGGCCAAATCTCCAGCATCTTAGTTAGTCCCGGAGGGGTCGGGGTGAGGGTAATCCACCTCTGCACGACCCCATCTGGCGCCCCGATGCCAAGTGGAGGGGGCTGCACTACTCCCTAAAGCCCCTTAATGAGGCAGTTTAGCAAGGTCGCGGCTTGTTAAATTGTTATCACTTCGTCTTGGAGTTTTGGGGCCCGAGACAATTGCTATCTTGGATGGCATTATCCTCTCCTCGTCTATCCGAAGGTCACATTGAGTTGACCCCCCTCAACTTGAGTTCTTGGAGCTATGGGATACCGGGCACTCGGCCTATCACGCCCCCTTGAGAGGGGTGGGGTAAGTGTAGGCGCCCCTAAAAAGGCATCAGGGCCGAGCAGCGGGGGCTTGAACACCTCCATGGAGCTCCTCCATGGCTACCTTTTCATAAATATCTAACAACCTATACACTGAACCCAAGTCTTCTTGTCATTCCTTGCATTACAATGCATAGAGACACAGGAGAGATCACAAAATTAGCAATTTTAGATTTACCTACATTATTATTATTATTATACATACAAAATGAAGACTTGTGATTACATTAAAACATGAATCTGCTGCTTCAGCAAATTCATTTTGAACCTTTTACCCAAAAGCCTCCATCATTTCTAATTTTTCGTACAACCGAGGGGAGCAAGTAGTGATCCCGAAACCTTTTATATTGAGCCTTATACCCCTATTCAGCTGGCCTACAAGGTCCTATATCCTCTATAAACATACAAAGAATATATCAGGAAACCTGTGTTTTCTCTTTGATCTCTGCAACAGGTACATACATAAACGGAGAATTTGGTGTAGGTGATTCCACCATTTTGTTATAACGAGCATCACGAAGCCTTAACAGAACCAGCTGGAGTCTTTCTACCTTGTTCTTGATTCTACACAGCCTTTCCATTTCAGCTTCAGCTTCCAGCTCTCCTCCACCTTTTCCATTGAAACATAATCTTCTTTTCTCCTTCTTCACTCGCTCTCTCAGAAGTTTGAGACTCATATCATCACCAAATTCTACAATTGCCTGATTCCATGTGGAGAACATTAAAGATAAAGGATGTGGTGTTTTAACTTTTAAATGAGTTACATGCAGGTAGAGAATGTTAAAGATATACAATGCGAGGCATGAACTAGTTACATTCAGAATATGCTGACCCGATTTTTGACTTAAAACTTCAACTTCATGACAAATATAACTCAAGCAAAATTAAAGCAAGTGTAAATTAAAGAGAAAATAGTGTTTTTTGACTATATGAGTGACCATATACTAGAAAACTTTATATACAGGGCAGAATGTAATGGTACCTTGTTGCTGCCTATTGACTGCCGCACAGCTTTCCTTAGCTGTATTTTCTTTGATTTACAAATCAGCTTGTGGGCACTCTTTCTCCTATGGGTTCGTTTCAGATTCTTTGGTGTTTGAACTGCACGTTCAGTGGCCATATCTTTTGCGGTAACTTCCTCTGTAATTTTTCCTTTAACCGTATCAGCTGCACATTCCTCTGATGCTATAGGACTAACAGCTTTGCTCGGATTCGTTTTCTCTACCTTCTAGTATTCACAGATTATTAGTGAAATAAGATGCTTGAAAATTTCAGGTTAGAAGTAAAAGTTTAACGCAAGTCGACTTTCTCTAGAAATTGACAAGCAAAAGCTAATAGAATGAATAAGAAGGTATATATTACAAAAACATAGTCAAATGAGAACTGCAGTCCAATTTAGCTTTGAAATGAAAAATATTTGAATATTTCATTTAGCAATCACCTTTCTACCCTTCAATGCAAGATAACGAGCATTCTTGAACCACTTGTTCACCTAGAAATGGGAAATAGAGAAGGTTATTAAGCACAGCTATATCAGAAAAATTATTGTGTTAAGCAACTGACAACTGAAGCACCATAAAATGCTCTTACATTTAATTGGTTTCAACAATCAGTGGCAACCACTATAATATAGGATTCAACAGCTTTCCCTATTAGGAAATCTCAATTACTTCTTGTTAACATGGCTATATTACCTTTTCAGAGTCAAGGCCTAACTGCTTTGAAAGGTTGTCCTTCACTTCTTTAGATGGAAGTTCATTTTCAGCAAACACGAGGCGAAGCTTCTAGTACAGGATGCAAGAATGAATTGTGAACATAGAATCCAAACAGTTAATTGTTTCAAGTTTGAAAATATAATCTAAAGCAAGCGAAAAATACCTCAACAGCATTTGGAGGAATCCTGAATATTGACCTTCTAGTTTTTCCACTATATGATTTCTCTTCTACTTCGGTAGATTGCTTTTCCTGGCAATCGTTTTCATTTTCACAAAGGGTCATAAGAGTGCTGGCTGCATCCGATTCAAACTCCTTTTTCTTTTGCTTTCTTTTTGTAGGACCCCAGTCTTCATCTTCACTATTTTGTTCATTCATAGGAGGATTCTTACCAAATAATTCCTGTGAAACAGATTAGAAAATTCACATTACGGCCCTATTAACAATTGAAACAATGCAAATCTTCAGAAACATGATTTTGATATTGTGTGGATTATAGCAGAGATTTCCCACCTTGATAAGTAAACGGAAAAATATCATTGAACATGCATTTTTTTTAAAGCAAGACACTTACGTCATTTAGCTTTATATAATCCACACTTGTTCTCTGTCTAGGGCCATTTAAAACATCAAAATCAGTTGTCTGATCGGAATCTAACATAGCAATGATGTCAGCAGAGTTGTTTTCAAATCCAATACTCTTCTCTGGCCTTCCAGTAAAAGCAAACAGTTCATCCTCAAGCGAGCCCAAACTGGTTGAACTACTTGCATCATCAGAATCATCAGATTCTCGGTTACTAGTACTCTTGCTACTGCTATTCTCAATTTTTTCAGGATCATAATCATCGTCTTCAGAGTCATCAGATGGCCATTCATGTTCAGGACATTGCAAGGAATCCCCACCTCCAGGCAAAGCAGCTTCTTCTTTGAAGATATCCTGCTTTTCCAAGAGACACATATTCAGTTTGCTAGTGAATTGTTTAGAAAATCATAAAGACAACCAGAAATCTAGTCAACAAGAAAAAGAAAAAGGGTGGGTCCTTAAAATAACTCTACCTCCCAATTACTGTCCACAGCAAAGTGGGTCCCAAGATGAACATTTGTAGATTCAATTATCTCCATCCTAATCTTACACAACTTGCAAAACCAGCCCTCATCATCTGGAGGAACTGCAAATTTAATGAATCCATTAAAATAGTTTTGATAAACATTATTCAAAACCAGAGATAATCTGTTTGATATAATTATTAACCTAAAACTTAAAGATGATTGGTGGAAGATTATAGAAACATTTGAAAGCCAGATTACAGGATGACTCACTGTTTTCTGTTGATAGCGGAGGATCAAGACATTTTTGATGAAAAGCACAGTTACATGTTCCATCACAAAGTATGATATCATTGTCTGGGAAAGCATCACGCAATTTGCATTTTGCACATATTATCTGAAAGCACGAGTAAGTAACTACTCACCATCACTGAATCACTAAATCTTAGTTAATATATAACTACAACATCTTTTGGGTTCAAGTTCGCTGTGCATACTAGTTAAAATAAAACTACTACAAATCTTAGGTATGAGTTTACCGCCTATTTATAGATCTGCAGTCTTCAATTAAGAGGGAGATAGCAAGCCCTTCAAATCTAGGAATCCCCACAAGCATTTATGAACGGAAATTATGCAATCATAATCATGGTAAGATACATACACTATGCACCAGCAATGAATTAACAGAAGCTAAAGAATATATTAAAGGACGATTACATGTTCATGGTGGACAGAACCATCTGGAGCAATAACTTCATCATCAATGTGCCCTACAGAGCTCAGCAAATCCAGTTGGCGAACTGCTTCCCTTATCCCAAGCTTACACTTTAATATTTGCAATTTCGCCCTCTCCAGTTCTTTTTCTGGCTTAATTTTTTCCCGACTGACAATAAAAATAAGTTTATATTAATGGAAAAAGCCAATGCTGTAATAATTGCATTGATCTAAACAAAAGCAGCGTACTTTCATTAATTTTTGTTATAGCTTTGGTTTATATTACATACAAATTTCTTTTCAAAACTATGAGTCTTTCTGCATACCAAAGAATAACTGAATAAGTAAATTACAATTTATGTTATAAGTTGCCTAGCTACTCTGCCACACCTGTATATTTCATGTCACATCATCTTAGACTACTTCTAAGATAGAGGATATCCTTGCACAAATGTGCAATGTACTTACTAGTTATAGCTGGACTAAGTTGGCAGGATAATTAAAAGACAGACGACATATGAAAAGAATTTACTTAAGTAATCGAACTTCATTTATAAAGAAAAATCAACTAAGGCTGGAAATTATGAATAAGACCTGCACAAGCAAAAAGTCCTTCTAATTATGTACAGCATCTAAACTCAAAGGATAAGTACCTGAAAATAATTCCTGCCAGCAAGATTATTTAACTAACCACTACTAGGAACACAAACTGCAACACATGACATACAAAAACATGACTGGACGATAAAGGTCCCTGTGGTTAACTAGGAGTTAACCAAAAGCCAAGATTATATTCTTATGAATATGTACTCTGATTTGATTATAGCTATGCTAATATATATGAGAAGAAGCTTCTCTTCAACATCATCAAAGAAAATTACGAGCAGTATATACCTCTGGCCCTTCCAACCTTCTGTGGAGTAAGCATCAATCAGGTTCTGCTCCAGTTTCATTTTTATCAGGAGGTACCTAGTCCGCCTGTGCAAACGAGAAACCTCATCAAGCTCTGCATTGCGCTTCCTTCTCTTTGCCCTTTTCCTTTTCTTTAACCTATCATATTCAATGTCAGCCTCCTCATTTTCCCCATTTTTCTTGGAATCAACTTTCTGAAGCTTCCGTACTTTGCAGGTCAATGCAGACTGCTTTTCTGGTGATTTAGTTTTACTAAAAATTGCTTTTTGAAGTGTTTTTCCTATTGAAGAGCCTTTCCCCTTCCCTTCACATGGGTTTTCAATAACCATCTTCTTTGACAAACATGAACTAGTCTTTTGATGTTTTGGATTTACCTTTGGCCTCTTCTTGAGAGATTTTTTTGTTCCATTTTTAATTTGAATGAGTTTCTCAACATTTTTATGAGTTTCTCTCTTCACTGTTCCTGGCATATTGATTTGTCATGCATGAAACTGAAAAGGAACCAGAAGAGAAAAACTAAAAATCAAATTTCAGAAAACGGAAATCAGGTAAATGGAAAATACATACATCCCTGAAAGATCCATATATATGAAGGATACAAGCATAACTGTCAATACCTAGATGCAAGTATCAAACTATCATCATTGAAAATCAATTAGGAGTTTAGATTAGAAGGAGCATTTCAATTATTAAAGGAGATCACACATATTCCAAATTAAAGAACTAAGGGCAAGATTTCCATTACATGCCATTGAGAGTGTACCCAAGACTTTTCACAAACAGTTTAGAGTAAGTATTAAAGATGCAAAATTTCAAGTTTCACAGAGTAGCAGTGTAGCACAGGAATTTTCTGGTAGAGATAATTAGTACTCAGGCTTTCTTTGTTCATTCAAGTTCCCCAAATAAATCAGAATTGGAGAGTCCTGATCAACCCAACCACTAGCAATTGAAGTCTTAAAGTCCTAAATTCAAGAAAAATAACTACCCAAAATTTGCAAATAACCATGAAAAGATTCAAGAAAGAATTCTCGCAAATACTAACAAACAAACAATCCATCCGCACTGACAGAAAAGGAACTGAAGTTACCCATTCAATCTAACGGAATGTCTGTCTAGTGTGAGTAATTGGGATTCACCTGAGAGGAAAGACAGAATGGGTGAAGATCTGGAATTGAGTTGCAGTTCTGATGGCTCAGTACTAGCGGCGAAGTGGGTGTGCTTCGAATGCTGAAATTGATTGATTGAGTATAGTGGAAGAAAGAGCACAAAATATTCAAAAATTCAAGTTCTTGTAAGAGGAGGTCATGAGATGCTTTTTGGGGTTGGACTTCCCGGCCAGCCAAAACGGTTCAGCATCATCCCATCCCTCTTTCGGTCTGCTTTCTATAATATCAAATTATCAATGGTAAAGTTTTTAGATATTATTTTCATTGTATTTAGAGTTTTAATAGTAAATAAATTCATAGAAATTGATGGGCCATGGGCTCTTGGAAGCTATTTTATTGTGAAAGACTGGAAGTCTTGGTCTAAAAGGGTGGTAAAGGAAAATAGTGTTTGAGAAGTAATGATTTTTTTATGGGCTAGTAAGGAAGAAGGCATGGTGGTTCAAGTGAGAGGTGGCGTTAATTGGACCGGCAGGACAAGCTGTCACTGTAGCGGGGTTAAGATTGTCCACGCTCGGTCGACACTCGATCGCGACGTGGCTGGCACAAGCGGTGCACCCCTAGTGTGCCCGGTAGCGCAATCCTTGTGCCCTGAAAAATGCCTTGCAACATACTGATAGTATTTTGGTCATCTCTTTCATACGAAGGTCAATTGAGGTGATTCAAGTGTCCATGGGAAGATAGAAATTGACACCCCTAGGACAAGGTCGTATGGCTTGGTGTGGTATCTCCTTGACATACCCGGAAGTTGGTAATAGGCAGATTTCAATACGCATGTGTTGAGAGTGTATCGATGCTTGTGAACCTCTATTCAAGTAACGTTTTAACTCTTTTGGAGAACTTTTCCACCCAAGACTTCAAGGAAATGATCCAAGACACTTTTGAGGGCTTCTCTCACTCTTTGGAAGGCATCTTTACACCTCAGGAAAGTGTGGACGCAATATTTCTTTGCAAAATAAAGGGGTTTTTCTATGTCCTTGAATTCTTTTTGTAACACCCCGTGTTACGGCCTTCAATCCCGAATTAATTATTTAATTAATTCCGTTAATAATAACTAAAAAGAACTTAATTTGATTAGGGTTCCCTTTAATTAATTAATGTGGTCCACCATGGATTGTGGACCCTTGCCTAAACTAGAGTTTTAAGCCCATTAGAAATAAAGAGGGTAAACCTTTTACTAGTCAGATTCTAATTAGGAATCCTAGACCTATATATCCATTAGGAATAAAGAAAGTAAGCCCTTATTATTCAGATTATGATTAGGATTCCTGATTCTATAAACAGGGGATTAGAAAGCAATTAGAACCCTTACCACCCATAGTTATATTACACGAAAATATTCCCGGGAGATTCCCCACCACCGAGCCTAGGGAGATCAAGCGGATGGAAATCTTAGAGAAGAACCTTAATAGCCAAGGGGGGATTAATTAAGGCTAAGAGGTAACCCATGTCTTAACAAAACCTATTTTCTTTGCTATAATCATCTTCTTTGGCTTCTTCTCTACGCTTGTGTCGTGATGATTCGTTTATGATATTGATGATATGATCTTGATGATTGATGAGGTAATTTTATGTGGGATCTTGATGATCTTGATGATGATAAGAGGTTCTTGATGATTATGTGACGTTCTTGATAAATCTTGATGCTTCTTGATGTTAAAAGATGAACTACGATCTTGTTGATTTAAATATGATTAGAGCCCTAGGATGAATCATGAAACTCATATTCTGTTATTCTTGATATATTTGGGTGGGAATTCGCATGTTCGGGTGTTGATTATGCTTAGAAGTCATGATAGGATATGTGCTATTTGATCCGTTAATTGTCTACGTGGTGCCATCAATTGCATTTAAAAGTGTCTAAGCATGGTTTCGGATTCCACAAAGGATCCCTGGACGTTTATTTTGATAAAGAGTCAGTGGGGGGTAGGTGGGGGTAGGGGGACCCGCCACCTACCCGCTGCCCAATAGAGGACGTCGCCGACAGCGGACAGCCGGCGGGCAGGCGACTGCCCGCCGGGCACCCGCTGCCCGGAGACTTGCCGCCGGCGGGTAGCCCTCCACCCACCGGCTACCCGCTGGAAATTTGCCCAACTTGGGTCTTCGGCTTCCCCATTTGATGTTTCCCCGACCCTCGTGGTGTCCTAACGGACTCCGTTTATCGTGCCTAAGTCTAGTTTGAGGTTTCGGGTACCGTTCGTAGGATAAATGAGTCTTATATATCGCATGCTAGTTGAATTGGTATCCCGTTGGCCTAGGTGAAAGAAGTATGAACCCCTTAGGATTATTCCTAGTTTGTGGATGACCACGCATAGGTTTCATTATACGTTTTCTCCCCTTCCCAATGTGTTAATGTGGGTTGCATGTGCTTGCTACGTGTTATGTGTGCATGATACCCCAATTTGGTTGCGATCAAATTGGTTATTCCTGAGCTGCGGTTCAGAAGCTGGCTGCGGTCAGAATTACACTCTTGGGCTGCGGTCCACCGTTTGGTTGCGATCAAACGTTTTACATAAGCTGCGGTTCATATTCCTGGCTGCGGTCAGATGATCACTCTTGGGCTGCGGTCCACTGTTTGGTTGCGATCAAACATTATGATGAGCTGCGGTTCATCGGTCGGTTGCGATCGACCCCTTCGTGTTGCGATACGAGGCAGGGTGCTGCGGGGCCGTGTCAGAGCTATATGCGCTGACCCTCATGTATGGGCATGCGATTGGTCCTGTGGCGCCAACAAAGTGTGCTTGTGTGATGAGTTGAATGATGATATAGATGAGATGAAGTGAATCCATGACCATAGGATATATGCTAGTATCTTTACATGCTTGGTTACAACTGTTGAATGTGCTTATCCCATAGGGTATATGCTAGTATCTTTACATGCTTGGTTATAACGGTTGAATGTGCTTGTCCCTATTTGTCGAGTCTATTCCGGTTTTAAAACTAGAGTTTCCTAGGATATATCTTCCTGCTTCAAAATGACTTTTCTTATATATATATATATATATATATATATATATATATATATATATATATATATATACTTATACGGTATTTCAACGTGTTAGAGTGGGTTACCAGCATTATTCGCTGAACAGATATATTTGGCTTTCAGGCACAGACGATTAGCTCCGGAGCGCGCTAGAGGACCCAAGACTTAGATAGATAGTTTCATCTTCGGCCTGCGTGTCATAATGATGTAATGATGTTGTTAGATAGTTTAGCCTGTGCATCTAAGTTCTCTAGCTCAGATGTGGCATAACACCTCGTATTCTTATGTTTAGTACTGCTCTGTTTGGGATTTAATGAGAATTTACCTTTATTAAATAAGTTTTAAAAGTTTCAAAAATCTGGGGTGTTACACTTTTATCGTTTATTTGTGTCCAAGATTTCTCAAGGTGTAAAAATGTCTCATAAATCATTGTTGAAGTCCCCAATAGTGTTCTGGATCGTTTCCTTGAAGTCTTGGGTTGAAAAGTCCCCCAAATGGATTAAAACGCCACTTAAATAGATGTTCGCGACATGCCCTTGACATGATTGTCTCAAAGTGCGTGTCGAAATCTGCCTATTTTCAACTTCTAGGTGTGTCAAAGAGACGCTGCCCAGGTATCACTCTGGTTACAAGGATGATTCTATTGAAACTGTTAAAAGAAATGAAATCCAATTGTGCATATGACATATTTATTACCAGTAATTTTTAATCTTTTTTAGTTTTTATTTATGAATCAAACATGAATTTAATAAGCTTGTATGATTAATTCAAGAATGATAAATAACATGATTGAATCAAAGGATAAACAATTGTAGTAAGACAAGAAAACAATTAAGAACAAGGTTTCATTATTGTTTATTTGTTTCTTTTGTTTTTGCCTCAATGTTTAGAGGCTAAACTCATAATATTTGAATTTATTATGAACTCTAGGATGAGATTATGTTTTAATATATTTTTTTTGTTTACCTTAACCCAATTGTTTATCTTTTGATTCAATCACTTTTCATTATCATTGGATTAATTATTGTTGGCTCACTAATTTCATGTTTGATGCATATAATTGCGATATAGCTAGATATCCTTTGTATGTGTGGATCACCATATGATTGAAAGGAATGGTATGCTATCCTAAAGATAAGATGGACATCAATCCTTTTGTGTCCAAGTGAAATCGTTCAGTAGAACTCATAAATCTTTAATTCAATCTTTGGAATTTTAATTTAGAAGATCTTTTGATTAACCAACCTAGGAATTAGTAGTTAATACTCGTGAAAAAAGGTGTTAGCCTAGGAGGTCTTGCAAACACAGATGTAAGCAATTGTTTTGGGCATTTATTTATTGTGGTTAATAAGGTCATATGGGGATTCATAGATTCAAGTACTTTTTATTCACTGGTTGGTTTCATTATTTGTGATTTAGATTCTCCTTGCTCTGATCTTCCTAGTTGTTGATTAGTCTTTTATTATTTTTAATTACTTAATTGATTCATCATCATATTCTTGTGAGTAGATAACACTCGTTACTCACTCTTTTGTACTAAAAATAATAGGTCTACGTGCCTAATCGAATTTGTATATGTACAAATTAGGCATCAAGTGTTTAGGGAATGAGATTGGCTAATTCCCCTACAAGTTCAGGGGTTAAAGATAAAATTCGATTCTCGATTTATGGTCGAGCATGTTAACAGGAAGTTTGAAACCTAAGAGGATTGAATGAAACAGTACAAAGAGATAGTGTTAGATTTCTTGAAAGAATTTAGTTGTTGGGAGTTAAAACAGATACTATGGACAAAATATAGGGAGGTCAACCTTTTGTCACTTTTAACCCAAGGGCTAGATAAATATCTTGAATATGTGTCTCAGATAGCTTAATAGTTGAGGTGGACTCTCTAAGCATTAACAGAAATGAGGTGTTGCCCATATTGTCTACTCGGGATGAATGAAATAATATTATTCAAGAATCAAGACGCAAGGAGTTGCACATAATGATACCACAAAGGTGAATGAGGTCATGTAAATAGCCTAGTCTTATCGAGTGATTAATGAAAAGTTGTACAAATTATCTACCATGGCCCCTTGTTAATGTGCCTTACCAAATCCGAGGTTGATTGTGTCATAGCAAAAATCCACAAAGTGGTATGTGCCGCTCACTAGGGCATTAGAACCCTAGCTTGAAATACAAATGCTTGATATGTGGTTCATATGTTATAGAATACTCTCGAACAAGCATCTTCTCAAGGAGAATTCATACAATTCGAAAGAACAGATATATTGTCTACTACATTGGAAATTAAAACGACGAGTATCTGGGTCGTGTAAGAGGTGTGTGACATGGAATTGGAATAAATGAGTTCTTTGGCCATTCACCAAGTCATCAAAGCAACACAGTACCAATTGTCAAAGTTCAACACATGATTAATAATGCATTAGTTGAACAAAAGGAGGTGATGAGAGTAGAAACAGATGAGATGTTGCGAAAAGCCTTTGCTGAGAGAATCTCTCAAATTCAAATGCTTGTGGAGACATGCAAGCAACAACAAATGAGAATTCCAGTTCATCCATCGGTAAATTCAGAAAAAGAGAATACCAACCGTGATCTTACTCTGCCATCGAAGACTGTAAAGGGTAGCCCTTCAGACTCGTTTGTTAATCTACAATAGGTAAGATATTATTGTTTATTTATTTTATTTATTGGTGTTGTTGTTGTTGTTGTTGTTATTTACTACTAAAGTTCACATCTTTCAATTCTTTGAATATTTGAAGTGTGGAGGATATGGTAGGTTTTATTTGGATCAACCTAGTAGACACATAGTGGCCACTGGGAGAGTTTTTAAGATGGGAATCAAACTTCATTCTCGTACATTATTAGATAACCAAATAAAAGTATTGACAATGTCATTGATAAAGAAGCAAAGCTGCCTATTCATATGAAGAAGCGTAGACAATAGGTGATGAAGTATTAGGTCATTTTATTTTTATACTTAACTAGTAAATGAATAAAATAGATAGATAAATAATCGATTGCCCAGAAATTTCTCGTAATGCATGATCTTGATCCACACACATTGACTGCTGAGTGCAAACAACTCATTTGGAACAGCTTATTATTGTATTTTATATTGGAGATTCACAAATTGTGAATAATATTTATAAAAAATAATATACAGCAGTTAAAACTTGGAACCGTTGTGTGGGTGTGTGTGTGTAGGAACACTTGCTTCCCACACCCTCGCTTCCCATCATGATGATGTCGTCGGCATATACAAGTAGGAACACTCGTGAACCGCCGGAGGTGTAGTAAAAGAGAGAGCCATCGGTCTTGGATGACGAGAAGCCTACAAACAATAAAAAGTCGTGAAGTCGTTTAAACCACGCCCTAGGAGCCTGTTTGAGGCAATAGAGCAAACGCTGCAGGTGACAGACGTGGCCAGGATGAGTCGGATCCTCGTATCCCGGAGGCTGTTTCATGTAAACAGTCTCTACCAAGTGGCCGTTGAGGAAGGCATTGTGGATGTCTAACTGACGCAGAGTCCAGTTGTTTGTCACGGCCAGCGAAAAGAGAATTCGGACTGTAGTGGGCTTGACAACTGGACTAAAAGTGTCAAAGAAGTCCTCCCCGGCCGCTTGATTAAAACCCTTGGCAACAAGGTGCGCTTTGTAACGTTCGACCGAACCATCCGCAGTGCGCTTGGTGCGGAACACTCATTTGCACCCGAATATATTCATGTGAGGTTCCGGTGGAAAAAAACGCCAGGTGTTATTGTGGAGAAGCGCGTTGAACTCCTGGTCCATAGCCTCCCGCTACTGTAGATGGCCTACAGCCTGAGAGTAACACGTTGGATCAATTGTTGCAGTTAGGGCATGAAATTCCTCATTGGTGCCCCGAGTCATGTGCTGAAGGCGCATGACATGCCCCCGTTCCTGAGGCTGTGTCTGGGCAGTTCGAGTCCGTGGTGGTGGTGCAGAAGCTTCAATGGCCACGCGTGGCGCCTCTTGCGCCAGTGGTGTGGCCTCAGTTCTCGGAGACAAAGGTCCTGGATCAGGTGGTGCAGGCGACTGTGTGAGGATCGATATTATGGGCCTAGCAGCCCATGGCACAAACGGGTGCGGCGTGACCTGAGCTGGCAATCCTGTGACGAAATGAAAGATAGACTCTTCAAATCGGACATGACGACAGATATAGGTTTTCCCACTGATGGGAGGACGGTGGGTAACCTAGGAAGACACATGGTGTGGAACGATGTTCCATCTTATGCCGATTGTAAGGCCTAAGATAGGGGTAACATTGACAACCAAAGACCCGTAGGAACTTGTATGGTGGCGCTGTTTTATAGAGACGAGAGTATGGACTTTCAAAGTTTAAGACCGAGGATGGGAGGTAATTAATTAAACACGTGGCAGTTTCAAAAACATAGTCCCAGTATTGCGGTGGAACTGAGTCTTAGGCGAGTAGAGCTAAGCCCGTTTCAACAATATGTCTATTGCGGCGCTCAACTCAACTGTTTTGTTCATGTGTGTAAGCACACGACTGTCGATGATTAATACCAAGTGATTGGAACGTGGTGTGTAATTTGCGGTATTCACCCCCTAAATCTGACTGTATAGACTTGAAAAAGCAAAAATTGTCGCTCTACCAACACACGAAACGAGTCAAATTTTTTATAAATGTCTGATTTTACCCTTAATGGATAAAACCAGCAAAACCGGGAGAAATCATCAACAAATAACAAGAAATAGTGAAAGCCACTAGCTGAAACTACAGGGCAGGCCCCCAGATATCTGTATACAGAAGATCTAGAACATTGCTGCTAGAATTATCAACCCAATCTAACTTAAAACGCGAAGACTTACCGAGGTGGCAAGCTATGTACGACCCCAAATCTTTGGTGTTATTTGGCTTGACACTATAATTTTGTAGGACTTTATTTTGGACTAGAGCATGTGGATGGCCGAGCCTGCGATGCCATACCGCCAGTGTAGCACGGGAACTGACAAACGCGAAGTGAGCTTGGGACACTGGAAGCTTGTACAAGCCATCGGAGGTAGGACCCCTAAGTAGCACTGGCTTGGTTTTGGAATCCTTCACAAGAAAAAAAATGTTATTAAACTCAAAGAAAACACCATTTTCATTAGTGAAATTTTGAACAGACAGTAGGGGAATGGACAACTTTGGGACATGCAATACATTAGACAAATATAATGGTTTAGACACGGAAGGGATGGATGCACCACCGATCCGTGAGATAACCAAACCTGCACCGTTTCCGACTCAAAGCATATCGGAACCACCGTAGTCGTCTGAGTGCGTCAGCATGCCGGCGTTGGGCGTGGCATGCGCCATAGCGCCAGTGTCCGGGTACCAAGCTTCTGTCGGAGGAGGGGTGGGCGCCGCCGTAGTGTCACCGGAGACCGCAACATGCGCTTGGGCTGGCGGCTGAGTGGTGTAGCGTTTGTAACAAAAAAAAAAAACCGCCGTGTGCCCATGGGATCTGCAAATTTGGCACCTTGGCGCACCATGACCGCCGCAACCACCTCGCCCTTGGCCATTGCGTCCGCCACACTGGCCACCATCTCCATGCGAGCCGCGACCATGCCCAGCATACAGGGCCGTATGCGAACCTCCATTGCCGTCGTGGGATAGTCGTCGGAGAGAATGAAATCGACAGCCTGCAGATAGTCGGCCATCTGCGGGAGGGTCACCGGCGAACCTGCGGTGAGAGACGCGGCATAAGTTCTGTACTCCGGACGAAGCCCTCGGAGTACATAAATGTTCTGTTCGGCCAACGAGAGCGAATGGCCGGCCTGTGCAAGGGCTTCACGAGGAGCTCCGCCCGTCCCAAGTATTCAGCCGGCGAAGCATTGCCTTGGCGTAGAGATTGGAATTGCCCAAGCAGGTTCAGACACCGTGCCTGGGTGTTGGATCCTAAAGCCGTGGTGATGGAGCGCCACACCTCCGCGGCGGTGTTCCAGCCGACGGCCAGGTGCAAGACTTCGTCCGACATCGAGGAAATAAGGAGGGAGAGGATCGACTGCTGAACCCATGCCTTATACACTGGATTGGGGAGAGGACCAGTGGTGGTTGCACTGGAGGTGGAGTCGGCAGAAGGAGTGGCGTCGATGGTAGGAGATGGACACGGCGTGCTGCCATCGACGAAACCCAGGAGATGGGCGCGCAAGAACGGAATGAGTTGGGTACGCCAGAACAGGTAGTTTCTGGACATGAGTTTCATCGGGATGTAGTGGTGAGCTCCGGCCAGAGGGTTGGGGCCGCTCGGGGAAGGGCCGCCGGCGGTGGAGACAGTTCTCTCCGATGAATTCGTAGACATGGCGACGGTGAGTTACGGTGGGGAAAGGGGGTTTACGATAGGAGAGCAGAGAGAGAAGATCGATCCCAGTCTGATACCAGATTAGAGAATTGTTTTCATTCAGTTACAACAGAAGAAGGTTACAGGAGTATATCAGATAATACCACTAAGCACTCCTAACTAATAGGCTAACCTTAGTAGACTTAATCTAACACCACATAACTATAAATTATAGTATAAACAATAATAATAATAATATGAAACACTAATAACATTAACATATATATATATATATATATATATATATATATATATATATATATATATATATATATATATATATATATATATATATATATATATTGAATCCGGTGTACACCCCCTAGCCAGTCGAGCCTGTGAGCACACTCCCTGATCGTTGATTTTAATTTTTTGACGATTCAGATTGATTACCACTTGGATCCCATGTTATACTGATTTTAGATGAAGCATGGGTCTTTTTGTTCGTAAGCACTATATTTATTACTTTCCATTTCATTTATTTCCATGTTTATAAAGATTTGTAGCGTTATTTCAGCTCTCCTTAATCAATATTTCTCTCTCTCTCTCTCTCTCTCTCTCTCTCTCTCTCTCTCTCTCTCTCTCTCTCTCTCTCTCTCTCTCTCTCTCTCTCTCTCTCTCTCGTGAAAATTTAGTGAAAATTTTCATATTTATTTTATTGAGTTTTTGTATAGCTCATATAAGGGTTAATATAACGAGCACAAGTTATTTCTTTATTTTGTGTTAAAATTATTTACTTTATAGTCAAGTGTTTTATGCATTCTTTGAGTTGACACTAACTTTGCATTGATGAGGCAAATAAATTTAAAAGGCTATGCAGGTAAAAGCTCAATTTAATGTTTGGTTTATTTTTGACTTTTTCTTATTATTTCTCCTTATTCTTTTCAATAATGTTTAATGTATGATCCGTTGCTAACATATAAAATAATTTTAGCCTTGTGCAAATAGCAACGGAATTACTAATTCGTCACTATATAGTGACGGAGTCAAAATTTTATAGCTAAATTACAGCAATTAAAATAAACAAATTTTCGGTGTCAACCCGCGAAAATTCCGTCATTAAATTTTTGCACCAAAATTTACCATTAAAATTAGCTGCGTATTTAACGACGGAAATATTCAGTCACAATATCCATCGCAAATTCGTCACTAAATATTTATTTAACACAAATTAAAATATGTCCCTAAGTTGTCATTATTATGTCGCTAAATCTGTCACTATATAGGTTTTCTTTTTTTATATTTTTTTTTTTGGTAGTGTATAGACTTGGTCATCATTCTCATACTATTTTTCAAAAATTAATTCCTTTATTAGGTTGTTTTGATTTTCAAGACCCTTGTGATATTTGTCAATTGTCACATGTCTAAACAAACTCGTTTTTCTTTTTCAATTAGTCATACTACTACTATTGCATGCTTTGATTTAATTCATGTGGATATTTGGGGAAAATATTCTAGCCCCACTAGGAAAGAACATCATTACCTTTTTACTATTGTTTATGATTTTTCTAGAGCTACATGGACTTATTTTTATGAAGTTTAAATATGATGCTTATCTATTACGGAGTACTTGGTAATTTTTTGGCATAGGTAAAAAATCATTTTAATACTTTTGTAAAAAAAATTTAGATCTGACAATGACTCATAATGTACACAAACTGCTTTTCAAAATATTTTATTACAATTGATGGATATATTGTAAATGGATCAAATCGACCTGAAAAGACGGAGCAAAGAATGTGGAGCAGACCTGGGGCCCCGAGGTTGAGCCCCATGCTTGACCCAGCCTCGGCCCAAGGCCCCTCAGCCCAAGACGCCTCGGCTGGTCAAGTTGCGGCCCTGGTCTTCAGTTTAGTTGTCGTGACACCCCTCAACAAAATGGGGTTGTAGAACGAAAGCACAGTCACCTTCTTAATGTGGCAAGGGCTCTACGTTTTCATCAAGCGGGACTCCCCATATCTTTTTTAGGTGATTGTATTTTGACTACCACATATCTCATTAATTGTACCCCTACTCATATTTTACAACATAGTTAAATTTTGGACTAACTACTATCTCATTCTTGTGTAATACCTTCTCATAATTAAATCTTGGTTCATGAGATGAATCTTATAAACGGGTTCTTGGTGGATCTCATAAATGTACGGATTTCAAAAACCTATCACTCTTCATTCAAAATGTAATATCTACATTTGAAGCAATAACTATTATTGTTTTAGTTGAAAACTAAATATTTGTCAATAAACAATAGAAAAAACATCTTTAAAATAAAATCGATTATTTTATCGCCACAATGGTAATAATTTTGAAATAATAAATATTATTTTTCAATTTAAAACTAAAAACTTATCAAAATGTGGCACGTAACATATTTAAAGTAAAATTGGTCACTATTCATCAAAAGGTAAATACTTATCAAGAAGCATAAAATAACACATTTAAAAGTAAAACTTTATCACTTTTAAGCTAAAAAAGTAATACTTTAATTTTGAAAACCAAGCCCATTTTTTTTTAACGTGTCTTGAATATATTTTCAAATTCATTTCGCAAACCAAAATCCATAATACAGTTTCACGTAAGTTTTTGTGTTTTTGAAAGCACACTATATCACATTTAATTCAAGTAATACTTGATTAATAATCCTCTTGATTCCCTCACTGGCCTTGTTTGGTTAATGGCGGATTCGCCAAATTTTTGACGGATCCACCATTTTGGCGTTTTGACTTCCATCAAAACACCAAAAAACCATGTTTGGTTATCAGCGGTTTGGCGTTTTGACTTCCATCAAAACACCAAAAAACCATGTTTGGTTATCAGCGGTTTGGAGCAGCGATTTGCTCCAAACCGCTGAAATCCCAAACACTGCTAGGAGCAGCGTTTGGGGTTGGCGTTTTGGGGAAGGATTTTCCTTCCCCAAAACACCCTCCATTTTATTTTATTAAAAAAATATATAAAAAAAAATTTAAACTAATCAGTAAGAAGCCTGAGGCTTCTTTAAATAAAGAAGCCTCAGGCTTCTCTTCTCTTGTCCATCCGATGTGGGATGGGCAAGAGAAATTAATTGGCGTTGAGCTCCCTTTTATAAGGGAGCTCAACGCCATTTATTTTCTAACTTTCGATGTGGGATTTTTATCCCACATCATTTTTGTTTTGTTTTCTTTTTCTTATTATTATTATTATTATTATTATTATTATTATTATTATTATTATATTATTATTATTATTATTATTATTATTATTATTATTATTATTATTATTATACCCTTTTGGTCATTTTACATGTTAACCGCTAATCTAAACAATTAATTTTACCAAACATCTTTTTACAAACCGCTGATACAATCTGCTGGTCAAACTCGCTAATATAATCCGCTATTTGTTAACCGTTAATACAATCTGCAAACGCTAACCGCTAACCGCTAATCGCTAATTGCCAAACAAGGCCACTATTAAAACCAAAAAATATCCCGCCTTTAGATTTACATTTTTGTTACCTCAATAGTCAATATATATAATGAGCGTAATATTATTAATTTATGAACAATGAATACACCCAACTACATACCTATCAAGAAGACTAAAGTACAAACTTAATTAGAACACAATAAACTTAGAATACAGAATTGTAAAATAACTCTCCATCTGTTTCTTCAAATTCCTAGCTAGATGCTCATTGGACTGTCTGGATCATTCAGAGTTGCAATTGCACTTTCAATTCTTATCTTTAAGATTTCCTTTTCTTCCTCTTCAGCCTGAAATTATAAATAAATCATAACTATTACTCCTATTAAATATAAAAACAAACTTTATGTGCAAATTTGCTAAAACTTATTTAAATTAGATTATTAATACTAAACACTTTTAGATTAAATTGAGAAAGATTATTGGTTGTAATTGTTCAATACATTTGTTATTTATGGTAAAATCATAATTAATATATTTATAATGCGCAATCGAAACCAATAATCTCTCTCTCACACACACGCAATATATATATATATATATATATATATATATAATGGTTCAAATGCGGACAGTGCTTCCCGTGCGGATTCACCATTACGTATGCAAAAATGCACCACACACCATATCTAATGGTACATTTTCGAACACTTTGTAGTGCATTTATGCGTACCTAATGGTGAGTGACCGCACGGTTGCACGGGAACCTGACCATATATATATATATATATATATATATATATATATATATATATATATATATATATATATATATATACTTGTGAAAGTAATTGCACTAGCTTATCAAGCTCTCTATTTAATTAATTCTTTAATTTGTCCAATTATTGCATTTATAATACTAGAAATTATGAAATCAAATCATTCAGATGATCAGCCTCTGAAAGAGTATTTTATTGAACATGATTTACAAATAAATTTGCATTTCATTTTAAAATGATGGATAAAAATGAAAATTTAGTAAACACAAATGTTTATTTAATTGTATCGAATACATGAAAGCTTTTATCGAAATCTTTTAATAACAATTTTAATTAGTGCATATAATAATAGTATTAGATTATTATTATTATTATTATTATTATTATTATTATTATTATTATTATTATTATTATTATTATTATTTAGAATATTAGTTTAATTTTAAAATTTATAAGTGAAGTTTTCATTCTTTTTCCTCTTTCTTGTTCAACTTTCGCAAAGTATAATAATACTTTGATAGGAAAATGTGTGATTGTAACACGTCTACACTACATTGCCAAACAATCATGAATAAAATATGTTCATTTTTTATATCCTTCGTATAACATGCATCACCTAGAAAGAATAAAATACTCAATTATTATATTAACTAAATAAATATTTATAAGAATTCCAAATCTTTTGGTCCAAAGAAAATTATACATTATTTGATTATAATATCTTTCTGATTTAATTTGGAATCATGTCTCCAACTCAACATCAATTTGATTAAAACCTGATGACTTTATTTTTATGTTAAAATTTTTAAAGAAACTCATTTAAAATTTCAATCAAAACATTTTACTAGCCACTTGTAGAAGGAATATTCATCTAAATAAATACAATTTCTTCTTATTTTTAAGTCGTTTTAATTTATTGTTGTGGACATACTCACTATTATATTGTATAATATAATACATTATGACCTGTATAGTAAAATAGTTAGTATATAGTTAATTTTAGTTTGTTTGACTACTATTAACTGTTTGACTTGATTAAACAACCATTATAAGCGTTTGATTAATTAGTTTTTTGTAACAGCTTATTGTATATAACTATGTAATCAACTATCAACTAACAACTAATTTATCAAACATCTTTCTACAATCAACTAATGCTATCAACTAGTCAAACTCACTAACTCAATAAGCTAATAGCTATTTAACAAGCACCCCTATATAATTGCGATTTTAAAAAACATAATTAATAGAATATAATATTTATTACTTTAAGCTAAGTGTGACCGAGGATTTCTTAAGAGAAAGGGTAAAAATATGATTGAAAAATATTTAAATCTATTGTTGCTTCTTAACAGTTGTACAGTATGGATTTTAATAGCACCAATGATTGGCTATAAAATATTGTGAAAAATTGTTAAATACAAATTTAACTATATTATTTCAAAGTGGGCCAAGCATGGGCCCACACAATAGTTAATGCATTCCACCTCTCCGTATATATTTATTCATTCACTAGCAGACAAGTCCATAAATTGGCTCAACTGCTAATTGATTAAAATAGTTTACTTCCATTGGGGAAATTTATTTTTTAAATGATGATATTTCAAATGGTTAAGAGTAAATATAAAATAATGTATATATTAATCATCTAATTTTTTATGTTAAAATACATATTTTAATTTGATATCATAAATAATATATATGAAGTTTCTCTAATACTTTTTTTATTATGATGCTATTTTTTTTAAAATAAAATAATTAGAGACATTTTCAGCACATGCAATTGTTTCAAACATTTTCGGCACAACTTTTTCATTTTAGTTTATTTATTTATTATGGTTGAAAAGATTTTACTATTCATCTCTCGTTGAAAAAAAAATTATCTTTTTTTTTTTGAATGCAAAAAAAAAAAAAAAATTATCTTAATTATATTAAAATGTTTAATAAAAATTGTTGCATTTAGTAAATTGAATATTATTTACAACTCTATGACGATAAAAATGTACTTGGAATAAAAATTTGATATATAGTCAACATTACTTTTAATTATTTAACTATAGTGACATTTGCTCTTATATGATTTAAATATTAATTTGACTGAATTTAGTCATATAAATTTTGAAGGTAGAATAGTGAAGTTTTGACAAAATGTCCAAAGTATAGGGGTATTTTAGAAATTTTGAATTAAAGTTGGTAGATCCAAGATAAATTTCTAAAATAAAATATTTATAATTCAACACCTTCATTTATAATCGACAAAATAAGAAACATATACCACTTTATTAGTGCCTCAAATAATATATTATTTTAGACCAAGGTAGTATTAGGCACTTAAAATGATTAAAAATAGGTATGATATGATATTGTGTGAATGGTGTAAAACTTTTTTAATGAAAATATAATACTTTTCTGAATTCATAAAAAAATAAAATATTTTAATTTAAAAAAATCAAAAGTTTCACGTCAGACAGTTTTACACAAGATGCATTTGTATTCAAGAGTGACTCTTCTCTTGATCTGAAACCATCTCACGGATCCTTATTCGTGAAACATGTCAGTTTAATATGGAACTATAATACTAATTAGGAATAAAGTATTCATTACTTATAAGAAAAAATGTAATACTTTTAAATCAAAACGTAAAACTATTACATTTTTCATCAAAACAATAATGATTTCCTTTATTAAGTAACAAACACTTTATTCGTGATTAGTATTATATTTTTCAGTATAAGTATTACATTTTTATTTTGGTAGTTTCACAAACAAGGATCTGTGGGACTGTCTCACCAAAATTTTTGTCTGTATTTAACGATTAATACACTACAAAGTAAGAATGAAGAGAGAGAGATGGAGGAAAAGAGCATTGACCTCAATGAAGACAGTCTTGAGAAGCCTCCCAGAGAATGCAGTGATGGTGGCACTAATGATTTTAATGTTCAAAGATTCAAAGATCTCACACAGCTTTACCATTGTGTCTGTTCTTTTGCTACAAGTGAGGCTCACCACAAGTGTCTTCTCCCCCATAGAAGATACCCTCAACTGCCCAATATTTTTCGAATTTATTATACGTCGGTCCCGCACTACAAGATGTATAAACTAAAATTACTTAAAATTTTGAAAATAACCTCACCTCAAGGACATCCACGGGAGATCTCGAGTTTGGAGAGTCATGGCAGTACTGTTCGTCGATTCTTGTTCTTTTTGGTTTTGAATTTAAACTTATTCCTTCCTGGTCAAGCTCAAACACGATATTCCTCTTTGATCTTTCAGATTCGAGCTCCGATATTTCGGATTTAATCCTCCTCTCTTGTTCATGTAGCTCTTGAATGTAGTCAATTGCATCTTTGACTATAGATGCCTTGTCCATCTAATTCCAACCAATAATTTAGTACCACAAAATTAATGTTTCATCAAGACTAGATGTATAATTAAAATAGCATTGAGGGCCTAAAAGAAATATCAATAATTCAACAAAGGGCCTTATTCCAATGCATTGAGCAAAGAACCTAAATACCAATGATTGAACGTCACTTTTACTATTTTCTTTTGAAAAACTAAAGTACCTGTTACTGGTACTTTCAGTCAAGTTAGTTAGAATATTAACTTAATAACCACAAAATTATAAAATAAATTTTTAATAAAATTTAATTATTAATTTTTTTAATTTGAATCAATCGATTATAGATAATCTATATCAATTTATCTCATTGTGATTCTTTATCGGTTAAATTCAAAAAACAAAGTTTAACAAGTTCATATCTTCAGATAGTGATGGCAGTTTTTAAAGTAACCTCCAAAAAAAGTATTGGTTTACAATAAAAAGGTGCTAACTAATTCATTATTCCAATTGTTTTTACTATTAGAACAATTATTACAGTTTTAATATTACTGTCCTCTCAACAAAACAATAACATAATTTAAGTTGGTCGGAGTCATCGGACACACAATATTTATATAAAATAAAATAAAAATAAAAAAACATACAAACCTTGCTAATATTTGGGACCACTGCCCGGAGAGCAAACAGCCTTTCATTGAGCTTCTTCCTCCTATTCCTCTCGGAAACTATGTTCTTCGACGCCGCCGGCGATTGCTCGCCGTCCGGCGAGCTGGAATCGTAGTAGGAGAAAATCGCCTCGTCCAAATAGCTGCAGAAATGGAACAATCAAGGATTCTTTCAGCCCCAATAACACAAAACATTATGGTTATAATTGTATGTATATATTAAGATTCACCTGTCAAGATCCTCGGATTGGAACAGTGTGCTTGCGTCCCAGATGTTTTCTCCAATGTTTTCCATTTTCTTGGCTTTTCTTGAACAAGCTAAGGCTGATTCTTTGAGGTTTTATGAGATCATAAAGAGAAAAGGGGGCGGGGGGGGGGGGGGGGGGAGGTGGAGAGAACTGTTTTAAGAAATGAAAGATCAGATAGGGCAAGGGTGGAGAAGAGTGTTAAATTGAAGTGTCCAAATGGGGAGTTTGTGTGGGTATATATAGGGGTGTTTGGTATAATTTAAACATCCTAATTGAAATCTATTTTTGGGTTTTTATTCGGAAAAAATAAGGATTAAATTTCATGTCTGAGCTCTAAGTAATATATTTTGATTAATTTTTTTTAATAAAATGAGTCACAATAAAATTTAAAAATATAAAAAAAAAAAAGTAGTTAATTTTAAAATACATTTATAATTTTTTTAAATAAATATAGTCTCTCATTTTATTTGTCAGGTTTATTATTCATTACTTAAACCAACTCTTTTTTCTTTGTTTATTTTTTTTAATATTTTTTAATTACTTTAAAGTTAATTTTTCGTATTTAATAATACTTGTAATGTAAATTATAAATATATAAATTTTATATATTAGTTTTAAACTTAATATTATGAACATTTAAATTAAAATCTCGTTCACTGATCCAAACAATAAAATAAGAGGACGGAAGTATAAAATAAGATTATAAATAAATATTTCAATATAAACATGTGCCATCAAAGACTGCTTTGGTTTGATGCGTCATAGAAAGAGCAATCGCATTCTGCCGTCCAAATATACAGGGTGCCGAATAGTCTTTGATGCCGCGTATGGTCACGCCGGGTCACGAGAGTCTGATTATCACATCTTCCGCGCGTGCACATTATTATTTTATTATTCTTCCAAAGGTTGCACCTCACCTTAAGGACCCCACAACCCGACCCGACAGAATATTTGAGATGATGTAAATTATGGTAACTCAACTAAATATGAACCACAGAGGCTAGATATTTGCTCACTACGCACAAGAATCCCTCTCACTTTGAGAGGTTGCTCTCACACTGCCGCTGGTGAGATTCGATCCCTGGTGAGTGGTGAGTGCTATTGACTCTGTTACAATGTAGTATTGATCGATACATACTTTCTCAGCATATTGAATCACAAAGAGTCAATGCACTCACTGGAATTTGAACATATGACCTCCCATTTGAGAGATGTCACAATTATACCGCTTGACCACAAAATCTTAACCCACATTAATTTATTAAGGAGTATTATTTTTTAAAGGATTATACTTCATTGTAAGAGCACTAACCGATCTTGTCAAACCAACTTAACTAAATAAATAAATCATGGAAAATCCTTTTTTTTTTTTTCTATGAATACATTTTTCTCAGCTTACATACTCAAAAATCATAGGTTATTTAAAAAGCAGTTGACCCTCGGGCAGTTCTTTACATTTGGGCAGTTCCTAGCTCTGAGTGTATTTCTGATCTTATTCATTAAGCTATTTGCAGTTTTTTTTCCTATATAAAAAAATAATTTAATTTCATCATTTAGTTCATAAAAATTTTGAAATATTTAAAAGTAATGTGAATATCTCAAGAATGATTTTGATACGAAATTAGGCCCTAATTATCAACAAAAGTTATCTCCCAAGTGTAAGTTTGACCCTAATTTTTACGGTAAATTATTGTGTGGACCATGTTCCACACAATGTTATGTGGATCATAACAAAAAATACATTTTTAATATACTAAATGTACATTATTTTTGTATTGTATGTACATTATACAATATAATGTACACTTAGTACAAAAATAATGTACATTCCTTGTATACAATGTACATTATTTTACAGTATACAAAATATGATTCATACAACTTGTGTGGACCATGGTCCACACAATAATGATTGAATTTTTACATACAAGTCCATATTCTAATCAATAGCCGACGTGAGACGCATCAATTTTTTTAATTTTATTTCCTCATTATGTTTTTTAAATATTAAATTTTATTAATGTTTTAATATTAGGTACAAATATTCATGCATTGCACATATAATATGTGTGTAGGTTTAAGATCATGTGTGAATGACTCTCCAGGTAAAAATTGCGCACAAATTGCAGCCATTGAATTATCCAGATTTGATGCTCTTTAAAAAAAAATGTCCCTTCGAATTAATTAAAATTGTGCACTTAAAACCTCAAAACCATGCACTTGAAGATACAAAAATGTGCACTTGAAGGCAAAATTCTACACTTGAAGATAAATAGATGTGCAATTGATGCAATTTATGGTACCAAAAAGGGAAGTTATTCAACTTAAGTGTTATTAAAGCAATGAATAAGGTTCAAATTGGCCACTGAACGTATCCTAAAAATGCAATTAGGCCACTGAACGAAAATAAAGTGCAATTAGGCCACTGAACATTCCAAATATATGCAATTTCACCTAATAGTAGGTTACCATCAATTTTAGCAGATTATTTACTTACGTGGCAGATGAATTGACATTTTTAATAATTTTTAAATACTTTTTAATAAATTTTAATAATAATTTTTTTTAAATGTAATATTTTTTTAAAAAATGACAGGGTTTATTTTTTGTATTAATTTTTTTAAAATTTATTATTAAAATTTATTAAAAATTATTTAAAATGCCACCTCAGCTGCCACGTAAACAGGTAACCTGCTAAAATTGATGGTAACCTGCTATCCAGTGAAATTACATACATTTAGAGTGTTCAGTGACCTAATTTTACGTTTTTAGAGTGTTCAGTAGCCTAATTCTACTTTTTTTTTTTCGTTCAGTGGCCTAATTGCATTTTCAGGTTACGTTCAGTGGCCAATTTGAACCTTATTCCTTAAAGCAATTACGCATACAAATTGCTTGTAAATCTCACAAATTTCATTAGAAATTTAGTTATATGTTATTGAAAAGAATGCGATATAACAAATACTGCCCAGAATTGTGCACTTGAAGGCAAAAAAAAAAATGCACTTGAAGGTATAAAAATGCGCACTTGAAGGCTAAAAATATGCACTAGAAGGAAAAAAAAAAGGTTCACTTGAATGCTAAGTATTTTTTTTTTTTTAACACAATAGTAAGTCACACATACACTTGTAGGCATTAAATTGGGCACTTGGAGGCATAAAGAGGATCACTAGAAGGCAAGGGAGGAAAAAAAAAAGACATTAAAATGAAAAATTCGAAGGAAATTAATTGTGCACTCTTAGAAAGGAAAACATACACTTGAATCAGGCTACAAAACGTGCACTTGAAGAGTAAAAACATCCATTAGAAGGAAAAAAATGGTTCAATGGAATGCTAAGTAATTTTTTTTTTTTTAACACAATAGTAAGACACATGCACTTGTAAGCATGAAATTGAGCACTTGAAGGCATAAATAGGATCACTAGAAGGTAATGGAAAAAAGACACTAAAAAGGAACATTCGAAGAAAATTAATTGTGTACTCTTAGAAAGGAAAACATGTACATGATGACTACAAAACGTGCACTTGAAGACCAAATTTTTGCACTCAAAGGCACAAAGATGTGCACTCAAAGGAGAGACTATGTATTGAAACAAATTAAAACAGATGCACTCGAAGAAGAGAAATATGCACTTGAAGAAGGAAACATGTGCACTCGAAGAAGAAAAAATGTGCACTTTGATACAAAGACAATATGACTTACTCAAAATTACAATAATGCCACAACGTGTTTTTTAAGTAATCTTCAATCTGGGCGGTTGATTTGAACTAGATTTAAGGTAAGATTTAACCCTATTTTTTTTTTACCTAAAGTATTCCTTCACATTTGATCCTTAATATATATATATATATATATATATATATATATATATATATATATATATATATATATATATATATATACTATACTATACTAACAAGAGCCCATGAGAGTTAGGCCTATAATGGGTAGAAAAAATGGCAGTTAAATGTTTTAATCAAATGAATGGCTCAGATTGATCAGCATTTAATTTTTTTCATAAGATTTCCTAATTTATCCTTAACGAATATGATTATTCGTTAACTTTTTCGTTAAATATTATATTTTCCGTTAATTTCTGTTAGTTCACCGTTAACTTGCTCATTAATTTCAATAAGAAATGTCTTAGGGGGTGTATTCGATCATGACTTTTATAGAGTTTTAAAGATTTTTATGAACTTTAAAAGTTTGGGGGTATTCAATTCAAACTTTTAAAGAGAGTTTTTAAAAGTCAGGCGGTATTCAATCAAGATTTTTAAAGAGTCTTTAAAAGTCGTGTGGTATTCGATTAAGACTTTTAGAGAGTCTTTAAAAGTCACGTGGTATTCAAAAAGTTATGAACTTTTGTAGACTTTTTAATTTTAAGACTTTTGTAGACTTTTTCTTCTCAAATATAAATAGTTGAAATCCAACCATCAACCCCCAGATTTCAAAATTTTCTTTCTAACAACTTTGAATGTTTTCTATCTCTATTTAAACTCTATTTTTTCTCCCAATTTAAACTTTATAAACCTATCTAAATTTAATAAAATTATTATTTTCATTATCCTATATTTTCCTCATACCTAAACTCTACTAATTTTTCTTTATCTCCTAAAATTTACAATCTTCCTCTAAAAATTCGAAATAATATTATTTTTACTTCATTATTGCTTGTTTATATTGATTTTTATTTTTTCTATGAATTTTTTATCCCTAACTTTCTCTAATTCTCCCTAAATACATGAACAAAACAAATTTTTCATTATCAAATTTTAGTATATGTTTCATAATATTCATATAAATACTCATATATTTTGATTTTTATTCTTTTTATGTTTATATTCGTAATATATATTTTTTAATTTTCTTTTTAACAACAAGTTACTACGAATAGCGAACTACTGTTCACAACAACAATTTGGGGTTGCAAACAGTAACAACTTGTTGTTGTTCGCAGTCTCAAATTGTTATTGCAAATAATAGTTCTTTGCGTGATGCCTAGCAATATATCAAGTATAATTTTATATATATATATATATATATATATATATATATATATATATATATATATATATTAGATTTTTATTTTTTATTTTTATTTTATGCAACTTGTAATTATATTTTCAAATATTTTATTTGATCAATTCTTTTATTATAAATTTTATTATTCAATATTATTATGAATTTCTAA